TACACGTGACCCAATGCACACATGCTGCCAGCCAACTCGTGTAGTGTTGTGACAAGCGGTTCAGCAAATGCACCATGCCTTGTTTGTACAAATCATTCTAGATTTTGCAGTTACAAGATCTACGTTTACAATCAAGCGTTGTAAAACTCGGATTCCAGTTTCAGTTTATACAATCATTAACCTTTCGGTAGTTATTCTTCTTGTCTTCTGACTGTCCAATCGGATGAAAGAGTAGACGAAAAAATCGAATGTTAATAGCAGTATCAAATTTGATTAAATTTGCTATGCAATTGAGTTGTTACAAGAGCGCGGTCATTCACAATACAACCATATTACTCAGAGTCTTTTGCTGTTGTTTAGACTGATCCTGAGGTTGTCAACTGGGAAGTCCAACACTACCTATTCGTCCGAGTTATCTGGTCAGAGTTTTCACACCAGGCCTTGGTTTCACCAACCGTTGCTTTTCTTTCCTCCACTACCAGTTCCACAATTAGCATGCGCTGCGGAGGCGTATCTATCGACACACAGCACATACCCCGGCCACCCTCTTCAATGGAGGTCAGGTACTTACTCCAGCGAGTGACCGTCGATAATTAAACTGCTTCTAATCTCGTCATTCTTTCCCGGATTACTTCATTAGACTCGATCAATACTGTTTATCAGCGGTGTTCGAATGTGGATTGCTTACTTTCAGTGTTATCGTAACTGCCGTATCTGTGCGCCGTAACCTACCCAGCAGCTGCATCACACTTGACCCGTAATTCGTCCACCTGGTGAGACGTAGCTACCCAAGTGCCAAAATTCTGCCTTCTTGGTTACTTCACTTGTTAGAATGTAGTTGAGATATTGACAAGGTCAATGCGGCAACTTTATTTTACACCTAGGAATTACAAAGCGCATGTCAAATACAACTACGCTTAAACCGTTCAGAAAAGCTTGCAACACCTGTATTTACCCTCAATAGTTCAATGTAGTCTGTGTATCAGGTCAGATAGCTTGCCCTCAGGGAGCACCTCAACATCGCGTTGCTCGTACGAGGACAAGCTTGTTTCCAGAATCACATCTGTTAGGAAGTTGAACAGACAAGAAGAGAGACGGAAACTCTGACGAACACCATTTTCCTCAAAAAACCGTAAGTTCGAACTTCAGCTAACAGTATGGGAGGCGTGCAATTAAGAGTGAGACAGCGCCGTAGTGGCGGTCTGCTTAGTCGAAGGTCGATTTCAGATAAAGGAATATAAAGATAGGTCTACGAAAAGAGTGTCTGTGTGCCATAGTTTGGCGAACAGTGAAAACACGGTTTATACCCCCTTCAAGGTTTCACAGGAGCCTGTTTTTTTACACGCACCGTTCACTTGCGGCTGAAAATCCACGGAGCATAATGTCAGCGAGAAGTTTAGAGATGAAGTTAGTCAAAATAATTCCTCTGTGGTTTTCACGATTTTTTTTTCAAATTGGCAAGAATCATCGATTAACACCATTCTTCAGCAACCTGTTCACTTCCCCGTGTAGAAACCAGGAGTTTTGTCAGCTCCAAAACTGAGACTGAATCTATCTCGTGGACAATTGTATGAATTCCTAAATTCAGTACACACGAGGTTCCTATTATGGGTGTATGGTATCGCTTAAGACGCTTTTGTACTGATTTACCATGAAGAACGACCCTCTCCCTGATTGGTCTCTGTCTGTTAGTTTCTAATCGATGCTTTATAAGACTGTTTTCGTCGGATAGTAATGGTTCAAAAGACCTCTGCCATTATTCTTATTATCATATTGTTCTTGTCTTTATATATTGTAATATATATATTTATATATCTAATATTTCACACTTGTCTGTTCTGAATTGTGTCAAATTGATTCTTCCCCGATGTTCAAAACCAGGACCAGTCCGTCATTTGCCTGTGCTTGTGAAACTATTTTTTCTAACAAAAAACGGCTATTTTTCCTGTAGACCTTTCTCCGAAGCCACCGATTAGTCAAAATCTTACCCGAAAGGCAGCCGGCAATGTGTAAAAACTGTTAGGAGGACAGGGATCGATGTTCTTTCACCCAAATCATACTCCCTGCGTGGTTCTTATGTTTAATAAGTTCTTTCGCCTAATCAAGTCGACGACCATTGCAACCAGGACGCCCTTGNCTTGAGCCAGTTTGTATGCCTCTTGGTAAATTTAGAATTAGGGGTTTCCAAGTCCTCCAAAACGGCTGGCTGCTTGTATCTCATCAAACCAGCTATGGATGGCCTCGAATATAGGCTTTTCACCCTCTCATTGTGGTGCAGGTATCCTCGTCACGAGGTAATAATAAATAGGGTTTCCTCATCACATGCCTCAAGAGACTTACTCCGTGAGAAGGTATAAGAGACAGGCCTCACCCATCCTCACTTATACCAGTGATTTACTTTCAATTCATCAGTCAATTATATACTTCCGAGATGCCCGCAGAATCATTTACTCTGTTTATTTTGATTTTTGAACTGTAAGAAGATTGTTCGACTTATATGCCACCAAAGATTACTATCGCATTAGTTTCATACATGAACTGATCTCAGTTGAAAAATGTCAAATGTTCTCATCGTACAATGCCCCCCCAATAATGCACAGCGGTGACAGGTAGAATCGTTCTGTTCAATATTTCTTACCAGGCGCTTACTTAGACGAATGGTAAATGAATCAGAACTCCACTCCAAAAGAATAATTCACGTTCAAGTTTGTCTAACCGCCTAAAACTGCTTACACTTCTCAAAGGATAATGAGGTATAATCATATCACCGGATTTTCGTGAACCTTGACCTTCTTTCACACCGTAAAATATGCTCACATTTCACTTAATCTCAGTTTACGTATGACAGTTAGCAAGTATTTGGAATCCACATCACTTCAGTTTGGAATGAATACGAAACGGCATCAGGTTATCTGCATGTGGAACGCTGAGAAATACATCGTTTGCTTATGATCGACACTAGACAGATCAAGTTCCACGGTTTGCAGGTGGATAAAGCGTACGAGGAAGCCGATACATCTAACCGTCTTTCTGGTATCGGCCTGCTTTCTGTGACAAGAGATGTCCGCAATGGAATCACTTTATTACCGTATCATCATTCAAATTGAAATGCCTCCTTACCGGTTCTGAACGTACAATAGTGCGAGTGGTCAGTTGACTATCGTCGAAAGGTGCACCCTCAGTCGACGATGCATCGGTTCCACTGGAGAGGAAAAGCGAAATGAAAAATAAGGATGTGTAATTGGTACAATGAATGACTGTGCAGAAGAAAAAGGAGCGGTCAGTCAGAATGTACGTAAAGGTCATCTCTCACACAGGCAAATGATATTTGTCTAAATTTACAGATTTTCAAAACCATTTTATTTTGTCCTCTTTTTGTTTTTCGAGAACCTACGTTCCAGATGATAAATACAGTTGATTTGGGCTCTAGTCAGGGTTTTTCATCTACTTTTCTGCTGCTATTTTAATGAAGCAAGGAGGCTATTCAGCATAAATGCACATGCATTCTGAACATATCGCTCAGCTTTGCAACAAGAGGATTGAATTGTGTGTTCATCCGAAATCTTTTTTATCACAGATCCCCTCCCTGAAGGAGGGCATAATCGTGAACGAGTGAAAGAAGCGGAACAGGAAAGACGGAAACAGAGCGCTGCAGCCGCTGCTCAACGTCGCGCGGAGGAAAAAGCTAGTCGTGAAAAACAATTACATCAAGCCGCTGAACGTAAACAGGTTGCACAGAAAAAAGCTCAGAAAGTTGAAAGACGTCGGTGAACGTACCTACCTCATTGCCTTTCCATGAAACATGGTCCTTGTGCTTTCTAGAAACTTATTTCCCTCGAAACAGTCAGTGATATTGTTTTGTGTACATAATGCCTGCGGAATCATTTTTGTGTGCGATCCACACTGACGTCTGTTAGGGTGATTTTTCACCGTCGTTTTATTCTTTCCCCCGGTTCATCACTCTTCTTCAGTTGTTTTCCCCAATGCATAATGTTATCTGTGGATTCAATTGTGAGTTTTCTTTCCGATCGTTAGAATGGCAAAGTCGCTTGAGAAAATCAACGTGCCAATAGCAACGCCATCAAACTAAGCGCTCAAATCAATGTGCTATATGAAAATTGTAACTTAAGAACCGCAGAGGAAGCCACATTATCCCAATGTTCATATTATCTAGGATTGCTGTCGAACAACTTTGGAACGAGTTGTAATTATCTGAAGTTCAAACCAGCTTCATAGACTCTGAAGCTAATGATAAGATTAGTGATCGTTGCCTTGTTTCCAGCCAAATGTCGTAATGATAACTCTCGGTAAACCTACTGTCAAGAACACATAACTACACTGAATAAATCGAGTGTCACTTGAGTAAAATCTTTTCAAAAGAGAATCATACAAGGAATGTTGAAGCCTCACTCGCTTGGTATCCAATGCATACAAACTGACTGCTTATGCGACTTTATAGAGATACATGTATTTGCACACAACTGGGAGCAATTGATCGTTTGAAATTAATTACCCATGGTCTCGTTGACAAGAAAGCCCATTAGAGTTTGACTTCCTGAGCAATATTTAACATGACGTTTGCGTTTCATACTTGTCACACCTGGTTGAGAGTTTATTAAGTGGGAGATTTATCTGATTGTAGTAACGAAGCTAGATCATGAAAACTGATCAGTGCTAAATCGCATTAATTATTACTCAGAAATAAAAATTAAATTCTTCATTTCTAATCTATCCATGGACTAGGTTTTGTTCTCACCGACCACTGTTCTTCAACAGATGAATTCTCCGGACCATCATTGTCCTTCGCCTGTTCTTGCTGCGTCATCAGCCATTCCGGTGTTTGCTGAAACGTGACGAGAATCCTGCAACTACACTTTCCAAAGGTTTATCTTGTTTGAATTTACGGGTCAAATCGCTTGGGTGAATTAAACATCAGATTTATAAATCCTTTGTGTCGCACAGAGGCCACACGAATTTCGCTTGTTTCGCGATTAATATCGATGCGAGAGGATTCTAGCGCTATTGTGTCGGGTGACAACGACACTATTCTACACCGAGTCATTGTGCCCTCGGCAAAGTTTGATCCTCTCGACGATGGTAGTGATTTCTATTGTTCGGCTTCTGTGCTCGAATTTCGACTAGAAAAATGCAAATCGAACAGCACGAACGAGTCTGGCTGTTTACGTTGTGAGATATTTGAGCCCTCACTTCAAGTAACGGAATGGATTCATTAATGTGTTTGTAGGAGGCACCACATACTTATGAATTGGGTTCTGTATTTGTTATATGTTTAGTGTGTTGCGCGTGTCGCTGCAGATTTTCCGGATGGTTCACTTACACTCCTGCAGTCGACCAGAAACTAAAACAGGAAAATAAGGACTGATTATCTTCAGTGAGCGAGCGATCATAGATACCGTGTTACCTTAATTACTAGGTAGTTGATTTCTACCGCATTCAAACCGTTTTTATGTACTTCAACTACTAGGTATAGATTTATTCCAAGTTATCTCTCAACCTGGTTCACATTCAGGACTGAATCCATTCACTAACATGAGCCAATACTTTATGGCATCTCAAACTTGTGATAACACGGGAGATGGCGGTTATTCACGGTAGCCTGTTTTCCAAACCAGCATATTTGAATGTTTGTCTTATTTAAGGTCTCACTAACAACCGCTCTAGATCAAATGCACTTCAAGGGCACGGAAGCGGATGTCTATCCAAGGCGTCATTCGTGAGAAGAGATGTTGTTTTATTGAGGTTGCAAGTACCACATCCGGATTCAGGATATTTAGCGTCTGTGTAATCCAACTGCGATATTCAATGTTTAAGAATGATTTGTGCGTTTCGGTCCACTTCATTTTTTGGTACTAACATATTGCTCATCAAGTTATCGATGCATATTACGGTGGCTGTTTCTCTGTAAGTTTAATAATTACAACGGACCTCACTATTTAGGGGTCACATTTGTTATCAGCCTACATTCGACCCCACTTATAGTATGCAATTCAGGCGTGAAATCCATGACTGCACCGCGACCGTAAGGTTCTGGAATGTTCACCAAGAATGGAACTGCATTCCAAGACTTATGTGGAAAGACGAATAGTTAGGGCTATACCCCACACAGTATTGCCAAATTCGAAGGCACTTGATTATAGTGTATCAAATAATGCAGAACCCCGATCACCGATGTTCACTGTTTGCCTTGTCACCCAACAGTCACCTCAGGGGGCACTCATTCGAATTGGTGCTCCAAAATGCCGGCTTCATTCATTAGCCCTCATAGTGTGCAGCATTTGGAATTCTCTACCACTTACGTGGGTTCTGCGCTCACAATTGATTCTTTCAAGCACAAGCTGGATGAAATCTTGATAAGTCTTAAATCTCGACATCCGTAGCAGTGCACGAAACAAGGATAATTTGTGACATTCCTCATCTTTCCATGAAGCGTATGGAACAGGAATAGGAACCGCTTGTATTTCCCATAAAAAAATTGACTTTGAGGCAAAGTTCAAATGGCCCAGATCACTGTGATGCTGGTCCTCGTATGTTGTGGTGGTAGTTCTCCTACACTCAACGAATCACTGCTTTCATTCTTCTCAGCGTCCTTCCGATTGGCTGTCCTCCTATCCTGTAAACAGTTTGCACACTCACTCACGTAATAAAAGAGAACCACAGCATTATTGGTGGTATAGAGATAGTAGTCGAATAGGGGTGATGAGTCAGGCTTTGAAATTACATTCTCCTTTTTAGTTGATGCTTGTGTTGGCTCTAAAGCAAGTGGGACTACTCAGACGTTTTCGAGCAGTTCGAAAGAGCACTGTTCCCACACTTGTTATCAGCGTTCGTTCGGCCACAGACGGAGTACGCCGTTCAAGTTTGGAATCCATGGTTAAACCGCGACAGGAAGGCTCTAGAATGTCCGCAGAGGCTGGCAACGAAATAACAAGACATACTCCGAAAGATCACAAATATTGGGACTCTACTCATCCCAATACCGCCGACTTCGAGGGGACCTAATATTGGCATATCACATACTGCATCAACCCAACCACCCTTGCCGTTCTCTGCTGACTTTATCTCATAATGATCACCTCAGGGGACATCCACTAGAGGTGAAGACCCAGAACAGCCACCTTGATTGCCGGTATCACTCGTTTGCAGTCAGTGTGCGGCGCATGGAATTCTCTCCCATCTGATGTAGTGTGTGCTCCTACAGTTGAACTATTTAAATCGCAACTTGATAAAGCATTGGAACACTTAAAATTTCAACATCCGTGAGTGATCACGCACATTATTATCATTGTTATTTTCTCTTTGTGAAGTTATTCAAAACATTCTGTAAAAATCCTATGGGGCATGATGAGCTTTAGCTTTATTAAAACGCCCATAATAAAACTTTGATTTTGACTTTGTTGTGCATGTCCTCCAATAAGCTTCACTACCAATCAAAGCTACAAAATATTAGGCTAATCGAATGTTGTAACTCAAATTTGTGGCGATGCGCCACCGATAAATTGCTATCACTTGAACAGGATTCTGTTTCTCGCAAATCAAACAGGTGAAGACATTCTGTCCAACTGTATTTTCAGGCTTGACCTGGTATGTGCTCTCTGAAATCGATCCTTTATATTCTTTCCTAATTCGTAGGGTAATAACTAATTTTGAGTTCAACTACTGCGAAGTTGCATTTAGAGATTTCGATTCGGCTGATTATATACGGCAAGGAGAAGAGATGGTACACTGGAATGGTTTGTGCGTGCAATGGTCATTAATGTCCTACCCGTCGGTTTCACAAGACTCATGCGCCAGCCGACGTCGCCACGTGCCGTGGAACCCAGACTGCTCCGGGTGACCCTGAAAGATGATAAGGACTTGGAGGACGTTCCTCTTTCTAGTTACCTTCTCAGAAAGAGTTCCTGCTCAATAAGAATCTTCCCTGATAGGCCATGGACGGAACGAATGCAGCAACAGTCCGATTCAATGAGAGCGCGAGTGGAGGAAAAGAAGTGGGTTGTCCTTGTTCATGGTGTCCCGCAGTTAGACGATCCGGATGAACCAAAAGGTCGGCAGAACGACCGAAGTAAATGACGATTCATTCAAAATCTACTTGAATGTAGCGTCGTTTTGACAACTTCAATCAATCGTCTTCCCTGTTCACCATATTACCGTGGTAACGGTCCGAGGATAATGAAAGTTACCCTCGGAACTCCAGAAATGGCGAACACAGTCTTACACTTATGGCGGGAAAGAAAGAACAGAGGGCCTCCGGAACTACGTGTGAGACCCCTACTCAATTCCGGGCTCAAAATACACCCAAATCTGGAGAACCCTTCTGATGCACCAGATTACTGCATGCAGGTACCGAACTTCGCCACATAACCCGTGGTCCAAAGTACCAGAGCTCCACTGCCAAAAACTAATGGACCGAGAAGAGGTCGGCCGAGATATCAGTTCCTACCCAAGCGGATTTCTACACCGACAATATCTAAACTGTTTCTACTCTAATGCTCAAGGACTCCTCGGCAAATTTCCAGAGTTGAAGTTACTTTTTATATCTAGTCAATGAGATATTACTGCTGTTACAGAGACTTGGCTCCGAATTGTCTTTATCAGAGATGTCTCTACTGAAAAGCGATCGTCCTACCCATGGTGGTGGTGTTTTACTCTACTTCCGAAACAGTCTTGATTG